TACATATGATAAGTAGAGTTCGGTGTATTGGCTCGATCATGATTATTGAAGAATGTCGTATAACATGAGAATTGATATGTCAAATGCGTAGCAAAAACAGAAAAGAAGAAAAAAAACGACTCGTTTTCTTTCATCTATGTTTTATATACTAAAAAACAAGACAAAGAATAATAAAAGGCAAATGCTTATTTTTGAATATCATCGAAATTGATCCCATGTAACACTTTTTGTAGTGCAACATAGTGATTCACAAAGTATACTGATTCCGCATATAATTAAAAGTAAATAATTGTGTGAAGAAAGATATCTCGACAATAAGTCAAATATTTGTTGTATTGTTAAGAGCTGTTTAGAATCGAGCTTTTTATGCAATGATCTCAACAATAACAACAACAACAACAAAGAACCTAACACGCTTCTATGCATAATAATAGCTCGTTTAAAATCGATCACAAAACAATACGATTTTTTGATGATAAAATTCGTTCTCTATTATTGCATAAACATAATGGAAGATTTAGACAAACAAAAATACGAGTGAAATCTTACCCCATGCATTTAGAGCATGCTCGGGTTTCCAGCGTTTGAAATCCGAGAATCTATTTCACTAATCAAATGTTATTTGATAATATTCCGGGTGAACAAGAAACTAATTATTAGAAATCGTACTACTTCACTTACTTGCTGCTAGAAAATTTCATTTGACTAAAAGAAACTTGTTTGCTCATGCATAAATCAGTGTCATCTGAGCGGATTTTTTTTTTTCATCAATCATATTTTTATATAAAATTTTGTTTATGTATAGCAAAATCAATAAAAATTGGAATGTACCAATATCCTTTTTATTTCAAAAATAATTTTAAAGAAAAGTAAACCCGAAGAGTCATTTATCAGAATAATGCTAAAGAAAATAAGTAGTATAGAACTTATGAATTATCGAGGCATGCCAACAAAAATAGTTAGCTATTGAGATTTTACATATTTCTACTATCTGATACGGCCAGTAGATTTGTGTATAAAATTTTCTTGTTAAAATTATAAGATTGTTATAGTATAATAATAACTCATCAATCTCATAATAAAAATAGGCCCGTTTCAATTTTAAAATATTCACCAATAAACCCCACTGATTTCTAAAGATTTTTCATAGCTCTTCATATCTGAACAGGTAATTAATTAACTATATAAAATAAAAGATTTTTTGAATCATCAGATATTCAAGCCTTAACACACTAAATAGATTAGATTATAACATTTTACTTTTTCTTTAATCTGAAGGTTACATACGTCATAGATATAAGCACCATATCTGACAGCTTTTTTTTTATCGACCAATATTCGTCATCGAAAAATAACTGCTAAGCTCTTTGGACGGCTATTTTAATCTCAAAGAATTTTCTTATCTTGAAAATCAAAAATATACAGTTCAATTAATATAATATTCGAATCTAAAGTTTTCAATGTATTAACATACCGCGACTAGATATTCAGTATTTCGTGATTTCAATATTCATTGTAAGATTAGTGACAGTCAAACAACCATACGTTTAGAAAACCGTGCTGCATGGTCCACTCATAGATGGCCTATAGAATGTCTACTGAGCAGAATTCAGAATTTTCTAGGTTTGTCTGTATCTAAGAAAAAATCAAACATAATTATGGAGATGATTATATGTGTAAAGGAAAGAGAGTATTTAAAAATCTGATCGAAATTGAAACAGAATTCTATTACGAACGGGAGAAGACACACTTAGGATCAGTATATTACTATTTTTAATATTGTCGATTGTCTGCTAGAAAAACTAGACTTTTTCACAGCTGTAACAACGAAAAGAAAACACTTGTGTTCTCATGGGATATATATATATATATAATTCGGAGTTGAAATAACAAGACTGAGTTTTCAAGCATTCCATTTATGTTCATCGTACATTTTTGTTGATAATGTAGAATGATCTCTCTATCATATTCTTAGTTCGTCCAAAATACGTTGTCTTTCGCTTCATCCATATACATAATCGATAACAATATATTTAACGGGCGGAGTTTCGCTGACTGTATTGGCTTATGGGTAGGTTCATATTCGGTTTCCATTTCAATTGAAAACTTTGTGTAGAATAAACTTCATCCAATTAGAGTCATCAATTTTTTCCCTATTTCATTTCCCTGCAATTAAGATGTCTGTTACAATGAAATATATCCAGAGAATGAGTTCACATTTTTATGGCCGATGTATTGGTTTTGTCTTCATACTTGTGTTTCTGAATAAGTTTTAGTGGTTGTGTTAATAAGAACAGTTTTATTCGATAAAAATTCGATTTAATTTACCTTCTATTCTTCTTACATCCGTTTTACAATTACAAAAGTAATTATACAACATGTTAGCTTCATGATAAGAATACTATTGAAATCTATTGACACAATGACAAATCCCATCTATCATTTGAAGCAACAAAAACTGTCCACAGCTTTTCTCAAGTTAAGAATAAATAGTTTTATTTTAAATATGAATTTAAACAAAACGCTAGTAAACAATTGACGAATAATGACATAGTATATTTAGTTATTTTGCAGTAAAATTTTACCACAGATCTTCATTGAAGATCGATTGCTTTTGAGATAGGAATGTTCAAAGTTCAGAATAACATATTTGCATTATTGACGATAAAATTAAAATTGAGTTTCGCCAAGTAACACCATACAACGCTATTTTTTATTTAAAAATCATCACATAAAATAGTGCCGTTAATCCTTTCTCTCAAACTAAAATTATCATTGACAAAAATGTCGTCGTAGTAAATGCACACATAAAGTTATCGCCGTAAGTGTGTAAAATATTTTTGCTAGTCTTCGCGTTGCTCCATTTGGATCTTCGACAAAAGCATCTGGAATATCACCGCCACAACAAAATGGCTGTTGACTTGTTTGATCTTCACAACATAATGTATCACCATACATAGAACTACATTGAATTTCAACAGAACCATCGTTCGATGTACAATA